GACAATCTGGGCTTGCTGCAGATTTGCAGATTGCTGCAGCTGGTCGCGGTGCCGCTGCGCCATCCGGCCATGTCTTCACGCAACTTCTTGAGTTCCTCAAACACTCGCGCGAGCTGGCCGGCATGGTCTTCAACAACTTGGACATCTAATAAGGCTCTGAGAAGGGGGACGGTGTTCTCCCCGACCTCAACATCAGTAAAGGCGGGCGCAATACTGAAGACAGCCTCATGGGCTTACACTTTTTCTCCCTTCTCCCTCTCCCTCTCTTCCTCTTCCCTCTTCCCTCTTCAAGGCTTTCTCATAAAAGAACAGATGTTGCGCTTTTTCTGTCTTTGGGGCAGCGTCCATCTGCAGCTTCCATTCCGCTGTAGTCGTCACGGTGGAGGATGAGGGTGCGAGTTAGTCTCTCAAGAAGGGTCCGCAATGTCTCACAGTTCGGGGACAAACACGCCTCTTCCCTCTCCTCGCTCCCGCGAAAGCAATTCACAAAAGTGTCTTTCTTCTCTCTCTCTCTCTCGTTTGCGATCTCGTCGAAGCGGGTATTTAATAACCTGATGAAAGAAACAAATTGAAAACCACACAGAAGAGAAGGTAGAACTCATAGCCAGAGTGGCAATTCATTTGAACTGAGGAGTTGTAAAGAACAAATAATCCGAGATGAGAGTCATGATCCAGCGACCTAGCTTGGTCAGATTGAGTACGAGATCCCCTCGTGCCCAATCTGGCTCAATTCCGGGGACTTACAGCAAATCAAAGCAAAGAGTAACAATCATGACAAAATGGAGAACCGAGTGGTGTTTAAACCACAAGTACACTTCCCAGGCAAAATAAATACATTGAAAACGACTCGTTCCGAAAAGAAATACATTTAAATCACGAAAAGAAATACATTTAAATCACTTTCACGATTACTGGAGACATTGTGCAGATCTGAGTCTACTTGTACTTCGACATTTGACGAGTATCTTCCAGTCTGGGTTCATTGCACTTTTGTTGCTTTTGTTGTTTTTTTATTCTTCTGTTTTCTTTTTGTTGCCCTGCCAGCAAGGCAGGGCGCACTGCACGGACTGCTGACACTTCCAGTCAAAAAGGGCATATACTCAGTATCTAGCGGCTTTCACTTCCATATTGTTGTTGCTTGTTTTTTTTTTTTTTTTTTTTCATTTTGGAAAGTAATTGAAATAGTTTTCACCTTTTTGCATCATAGATGCGGGCCCTAGAGTTCGATCCCCAGACCTCATCTTACCCATGTACAGTATCGAGTTGACCCCCGAGTGTTTGAACCCGTGACCTGTGTTTCAATAGTTGGGCGTATGTCTGCCGTAGGTCTGTGTAGATGTAGGGGTTCGATCTGTAGGTCTGTCAAGTAGGGGTTACAACTCTGTAGAGAGGTCAAGGTCGTAGCTGCTACAGTCCTTAAAAGGTCAAGGTCGTAGCTGCTACAATACGTGAAAGGCCAAGTCCACAGACTTCCCGAAGGTCCGGAAGTGGCCTTTCGAAAGTGTCTCATGTTTAGCCAGAGGCAAGTGGGCAAGTGGTAAGCCCAACTGCACCGAGTAGGCAGTGCGACTGCGTCGAGTCGGCAGTACAACCCCGAGTCATTGGTACCAGTCCCTGTCAGTCGCAGTCCAGTCGAGCAAGTACCGTGTGGGACTGTGTGCACCAAGGGCCTAGTGGAAAGGGGCAGACCAGCGGCAAACAGAAGTATAAATCAAGAGCAGCGCCCAACACTTCATTTATTCCCTACGTAAGCCATGCAGAAGCGCTGCTACAGCGTCTTGTGCGAAGGTGGTCTGCAGGTTGCCCGAAGTCGAAGTGGGCTGAGAGATGATAGCGTAGCCATAGTTAGTAGAAGGGGGAGCGGCCATAACCGCTGTGGTGTTAGAAGTTAGTGGGTGTGTACGAGTGGAGGACTAAGTGACTGTGCGTGGAAGTATTCAGGGTGATCCAGAGTGGAGTGCGGGCGAATAGTGGTGTTGAGCACTGTGACGAGAGTTGGGTGGAGGCGCTGGGGCGCCATAGCTTGTTGAAGCGAGTTCGCATCTGAACTGTGTTCTCGGTTGACGTATCTCTGAGCTTTTGAGTGGGCGTTGTGCTCCAGTGTGAATCTCCATCTGTTTGCATGTATGCGCAATGGAAAAGAAATCGAGTCTGATTGCATAATGCTGTGACGAACGGGTAGCTGCAACGCCCTCACTGAGGGCATACTCTCATACTGACCCCAGATTCTGTATCCGACTGGTTTCTTGTCCTTAGGGTTGTTGCATTTTTTGTTTTGTTTTTTCTTTTTTTTCTTTATGCTGTTCATTTCGGAGGAGTACCAAAAAAGAAACTACAACAGGACCCAGGCTTGACAAAACTCAACGGGCAGTGAAATTCAGGTCCGCTTAAATCAGGTGCGGGTGTACTTGTGGTGTTAGGTGCAAGCCAAATTGCAATCAGACTCGACTTCTTCACACTTGTCATGCATGCAAACAGCGAAACAGCAAACTGGCGACATGCGCCCACACAGTACTCAAGACATCGTAACCAGGTAGGAGTTCTCTTCAACTGGCTATGGCGACTGAGCGCCCACACAACTCACTGTTCGCACTCTGGATCACCCTGGATGTCCCACACGCAACACTCTACACGCAACACACACACACACACGCTGCTATAGCTATGGCAGCTATGGCTGCCACTATCCTATCGCTACACTACACTTCACTGCCCTCTTCGTCTTCGGGTGCACTGCAGACCTTCTCGCACAAGCTGTTGGGGCAGCGCTTCCGCATGGCATCCGCAGGAATGAATGAATGGCTGGACGCAGCCTCTTGATTTATACTTCTGCGCTGCGTTGGTCTGCCTTGTATCCCTTGGCCCACGATGTGCACACAATCCCAGGCGGTACTTGCTGAACAGGACCGGAGTGAGTAACTGGGACTGCTGACTGGGCTAGGTGGACTACCACCACTTGACCACTTGCCTCTGCTGAACACAGGCCAACTCCGAAAGGCCACTTCTAGAAGTCTCGAACTTCTTTCGGTACTGTAGCAGCTACGACTTTGCCCTTTCAGGTAAGTAGCAGCTACGACCTTGACTCTTCAGGCATCCTACAGCTACGACCTTGGAATTGTCTAGACTCTTCAGGCATCCTACAGCTACGACTTTGGAATTGTCTAGACTCCTACCCTACAGGTCTACAGTTCGATTCTTTTAAGCTGTGACCTACGAAACCCTGCCTACCACTGGCGATCCTACAGGTCGCGGGTTCAAGTCTACGGGTTGACATCAATACTGTACACAGGTAAGATAGGGAACTAGGAGGATGGGCACCCATGGACACTCAACCACCTCTTATAGAAAAGCTCTCTGACCAGAGGTACTCTGGCGCCGACAGGTAAGGGGATAAACTCAGCTTACTTGTCGTATCTCATGTAGCATGGTCTTGCCCAAATCTGTGAAGTCAATGGACACAAACTCACCTGGTCCATAAGAGGCCGCTTGTGGACCTTGTTCCTCTGTCACAACTCACGAGCCTCCAAGTAGTGTAGGATACTATCCTTCATCTTCCTCTGTCACAACTCACAAGCCTCCAAGTAGTGTAGGATACTGTCCTTCATCTTAGACCAATAGAAACATTGGATCAGGGAAGCATACGTCTTTAAAAACCAAAGTGACCACGAGCATCATGACTCTCTTAAATCAGATGAGTAATGATTTTGCGATCATTAGGGATACACAAACGCTCTTACCTTTCGCTGATTGTGTATAGCAGGCCTGAAGGCAACGCATACCCTGGCTCAGAATTTGGGTCAGTGTGTAGATTCCTAAGGATGCGGCCAAAGATTGGGTCCTAAGGCGAGACATCAGCGATAGCCTGTTTGGTGGAATTAGCGAAGGAGTAAGGCTCATATCCCACTGGCAAAGAGGATTGGAATAGGTGTTTGAATTAGGACATGTTCCACGCAGAGATGCAGAAAAGCAGATCAATTACAGTTTTTTGCACCTCTCTGCAAACATGTCCAAATTCCGACACTTAATCCAATCCTCTCTGCCAATGGGATCTGGCCCTTTTTTTTTTCTTTTTTTTTTTGGACTGTTTCTCGATTTATGCGTGTCATCCTTGCGCAGGGGTCATGCTAATCTTCTCTGTATAGTTCCAATTTTAACGGATGTTCCAAAGGACAGTGGGATCTGGCCCTAAGTATCAACAATGGCAGCAAATGAATCAGGCCTACGTGACAATGCACCAGCAACCTTGTTATATCACCCCTTCTTCTGCTTTAGCAAATCTATCAATGAATCAGGTCTACGTGACAATGTTGTACCTCGCCAGTTTGACATTTAACTCACTTTGGGCTTTCATCCGCTGCAGAATGGAGTGATCAGAGTAGATCTTGAAGTGCCCAAGCAAAAAATGTTTCCATTGTTTGAGGGCACATATGAGAGCATATCGTTGCTTGTATTAGGTAGATGCTTGAATTCTCTTAACCTTTATTTTCTTACTCGTGAATTTAATTGGTTTCAGGTTGGTCCCATCATCTTGATGAAGGACTACACCAATTCCATGTAACTTGCAATTGTAGTCAATACAAATAGCAAGGGAGGGTCAGGCAGTTTCACAACAGGTGCTTGGGTCAAGGCTTCCTTCAGTTTGGAGAAAGTCAAGTGACATGTAGGAGTCCATCTGAAGTTTTCAGCACAGGTGTTTGGGTCAACGCTTCCTTCAGTCTGGAGAAAGCCAACTGACATGTAAGAGGCCATATGAAGTCAGCAGGTTAGTTAGGGGAGTGGCAATCTTAGAAATTTTCTGATGAATTTTGTATAGTAGGATGCCAGATCCATGAAAGACCTGACGTCTGTGCTTGGCTGTGGTTGTGGCCAGTGCCTAACAGCAGGAACCTTAGAGGATTCTGGGGAAGGGAATCTGCAGAAATCACATGTCTCAAATACACAATAGAAGAGGCACCAAAAGATGACTTTTCTTTGTTGATTTTGTATTTGTCCTCTCACAGAATCTGCGAAATCGTTTTGAGATGGTCTTCAACAGCTTTGGTGAACACCGAAATGTCGTTCGGATACGCCACAACAAACTTATCCAAGTATGGTATGAAAATGCAATTCATTTCAGTCTGGAAGGTACCTGGTGCTGACCAAATGGCATGACCAAATACTAGGTGCCACACCTGGTTTTAAAGGCTATCTTAACCATTTTGATTTGATGATATTCGGATTTCAAATCCGTTTGGTTGAAGAATTTGCAGCCATGCACCATGTCCAACAAGTCATCGATCCTTGGCAAGGGCTTACTGTTCTTCCTAGTGATCTTATTCAGGCCTTTGTAGTCTATGCACATCCTAAGCCTACAATTTCCCTTTGGAACAACGAGAACTAGTGCCCCATATTCAGATGAGCTATAGACCTGATCCATCCCTTCTGCTCTCTCGACTCAGCTGATACAGCAGGTGACATTTTGTAGACTCTTCCCTTGGGAGGGTCAGAGTTAGGCAGAATTTGGATGTAATGTTTGGTCTGCCTATGGACAAGTCCAATAGGCTCCTGAGCCACATCAGCAAACTCATCAACCACTTGATAAATGGAAAGATCAATTTCAGAAGGGCAGGAGTTTGAATCTGTTCGAGTGACATATGCCACAAACAGATTCTCATGGTCAGTCTCCTTAGACAAGTTGTAAAACTCCTTGGCTTTCAGGTAGTACCAGCTTGTCTTAGGATGGTGATCAGCAGCTAAGACACATTGTGTTAGCTCACCCTAGGGGTTCTTCAATTAAGCGTTGGGCATGGCCCAGTCAAATGAAGGATTGGTGGCTTTCAGCCACTTTAGACTCATGACCAGATCAAAGGGAAGGTGAGGGCAGATATAAAAATTCAAAGATTGCTAGAGTTCCCCCTGCTTATCTAAGGTTATTGATACACCTTCAACCACTTGTTTGATTGAGACAGATTGTGAGTTGCCTCCCTGAATCTCCAGAGGATGCTCGAGGTTTGAAACCTTGAGATGAAGAGAAGATGGTCATGTTCCTCCTTTGACAAGGGCTCATCAATAAAGAGTTCAATGTATGTGAACATTAAGCCCTCTGCAGCCTCACAAAAATCAGGCTCAGATGCTGATTCCTCTCTTGGCGGGGAGGAAGTCAGTTCAGCAGAGCATGTGGCAGCCTCTGCAGGCCTTACTAGTGTTTTGAATGGCTGCAGATGTTGTGATTCAGCTCGGGGCAGTCTTTTACGTAGTGGTTGCCCTCACATCTCATGTAAACTCTTTTGCCAAGCTCTTTCTGATCTTCTGATCCCTTGAAGTCAAAGAGGAAGCATCCATGGGATTTGTTGGCCATTTGCCAAGCTTGGGAAGGTTCTGTTGCTGAGGACCACTGGGGTGTTTGCATGACCCCGTAGAACCGGATGGCAGTCAGGGCATCAATGCTTGGGCGAACATTTGAGCAGTCTGGTCTAGGGATACTCCTGCATCATCACCAGCTGCGGGAGCTGATGCCCCTGGCCAGTGCCTACAAAGTCGTCGCAATACTCCATGGCGTAATTACCTCTCTTTCCCTTCTTCCAACTCTGAGAGGAGGAGGTGCTTCCGCTCTGGGAAGTGGACTGAATATGAAGTGCAGCATGTGTCCAAGGCTTCTCTGCCGAAGGACCGTCAGTCCTTGTGTCCTGCAGTGTACAAGGCCATGGTGTACAAGTGTTGTCGCGAGAAACCATGTCATCTTGTCCTCTTCCGACATGGACAAGCCAGGAGTGGAGGTAAGGCGCTTGGATTATGCATATAGTTCGGTCAAGGAACCCATGTATTTCGTCTGACCAAGACCGGCCAACTCATCTGCAGCCTCGAGCCTTTTCCTTGTCCGCAAACCTTACCTCCAGGCCCTGGAAAATCCCATCCAACCTGCAGCAACCCAGTCAGCAAGCTGTTTCTGAAACTTGCTAGCCTCGGAGTTAGCCCATTTCAGTACAGACCCTCCCATGAGGGTCACTGTTGCTATCACCTTACCTGTCTTTGGACAGCTGAAGCCCCTTAACTAGGACTCCATAGAGGCCACCCAATCAGTCATGTACACGTTGGGGCCATCTCGCGTGACCTTGTGGAGTTGGGACACCTTGGGGTACCTGGGCTTAGACACAAATGAGCCTGCAGGTCCCGGTCCAAGGGTAACCATTTGCTGCGGTTTCTGCTCCTTGGGAGGAGTAGCAGGTCTGGTCGTGGGTGTACTGGTCGGAATTGTTGCATCAGAGGAGGATGCATGGGAATGGGGTGGAGATAGATTTGGGTGGAGTAAAAGGTGGGGGCTTAGGAGCAGGCAAGCGCTGCTGGAGGAGCTCAAGGGTCTCTGAGAGGGAGGTTTGCTTGACCTCTGTTTGGGTCTGGTGGTCCACCATTGCAGAGATCCTGTCCATCCAGGCTGTGTGAGCATCCCTGACTACAGTGAACTCCAATCGGATCCACGCAGCCAGCCTTTTGTGGGTCTCATTGAATCTTTCATCAGATTTAGCCCTCAGGAAGTAATCAGCCAACTCAGCTCTCTCAGTCGCCTCTTGAGTTCTTCTGTCCTCGGCGTCCTTTTCTTTCAACAGCCGCTCAATCCTTTTTGTCTCTTCTATGGCTGCTCTCTCCTTCTCAATTTCAAGCTCCAGAGGGGTTTTGGGAATTTCAGGATCCTTGCCTTTCCCAGAACCGTCTGAGGCTTTAGAGTCACCTATCCGACAATTCTTTTCACAGTGAAAAAAATAAAATAAATTCGGATTAGTATTCACACGCAGAACAAGAGTTCAATCAGAATTACACTGTGCTGTTTACTCCATTAGAGAGAAGGGTTAAGACAGATAGCAGATCAGCACTTCGTGTCCGTAGGCATTCAGGGAGGTGTAAGTAGCGATCAACAACAAGACAGTAATTGTTCACTTTTACCGCATGCCCAACTGATGAGGAAAAAAAAAAAAGGGCGTCGTTGCAGGGTGAAGACCAGCAGATAGATTGTGGTTTATTGGATTGACGGCACAAAATTACTGCACGGACTGTTCTGACACGATTGACAAACCCTATAGGACTGACAACATTGATTGGACTGACGCTAGTTTTGACAGGGCAGACTATAAGAGGACAGACTAACAGACAAAACGGGAACCGTACACACAGCCTGTGCGCAGGCTCAAGACCCACGGTCAATTGCAGGCTAAGGCCAGAGAGGAAGTCAAATCGTTGACAGTCTAGTGATGCCAAGCAGATTGACAGACACCGGCGGACCTCTAGACGGATCTCGGACTAACAGACATGACAGACCAGTTTTGACAGACTTATGCCAGAGGGACAGGTCGTCGGAACAAACTCACTGAATCAAGGTCTTGATTGGAGATTGCCGTCGGTCAAATTTGACCAAAATACAGGGGCCTGGCTGACTTACTGTTGCTCAGCGCCCAAACTGAATGCTCGCTGCAAGTTCCACTCAATTATGGCGATTGAATCACCGATTCTCCTGCAAATTCGGCCCTCAAGCGGTCGTCCAAAACCGGTCGCCGGCCAAGCCGGGAGGGCCTGCCACTTTTGAGGGTTGCCATGCCCTCAGGTTGCCATGCCCTCAGGTTGCCGACAGTCCAATTGGGGTTGACGTCCCAACTAGTGCTGGGGCCAACCCCAGCCGGAGACCACCTTTTTTATTTAAACTCAGTTTCTCGCCTGTTCGTACCAATCAATCAACAATTGCCACTGCTCACGTTGTTGAAGATTATGGGGCACTGCCCCAAACCGCCAGCCACCGGCCCGACAGATGTCGATCAACTAATTAGTCCCTTGGATGCACGCGGTCGTGGCTCTGATACCAACTGTTATGTGCCTGATTGAAACGAGATATAGCATGGCATTCACACGTTCCCATACACATGCGCTATGACAAGAGATATTGAAGGGAGCGGAAGCAATCAAAACCAACAATAGAATTGAAATTAATCAATTCTAATTAATACCCCCGCTCCTTCCGGCCAATCAACGCACTGTTTTTCCCAAGAATCACAACCACGTTATTAACTCCCAGAAACCAATTCTTTAACGAGTTTCTTTGAGTAAGTGGGAGTGTTCTTCTTCCTCCCTCGCCACCAAGCTTCAGCTAAGGTTCAGTTAGCGCCCAACCTAACAAGCCTGCCAACAGCACTCAACCCTTCTGCGGAAATAGAATCGTCTGCAGCCCATAAGCATTCCCCTACAGATGATGTGTCCACACAGCAGGGAGCGCAGCACCGAGGATGGAGGACTCAACTCGATGAACAAGAGATGGCCACCACTTCGAAGAGCACTTGCATGGAAGCTTTGGAGGCAGCGATGTCAAACCCCACCAGCACACAAAATGAGGAAAGTGCTTTGCAGCGCTTGGCCAGAAGCCCAGCACTGAGTCTTTAAGTAGTTAGCTGGCCTTGGCTATGGCTGCCAGGACCAACTCCAGTGAAGACGACTGCGCGACAGAAATAGCCAGTGATGTCAAACCCCAACAGCACACAAAATGAGGAAATGCTTTGCAGCACTTGGCCTGGAAGCCGAGCGCTGTCTCAAGTAGTTGGCTGGCGTTGGCTATGGCTGCCAGCACCAACTCCGATGAAGATGACTGCGCAGAAGAAAAGAACACGTTCCCCATCAGCCTCGGCACTTTTCTTCCCTCGACCCTCACTAGGACCGACCTACCACTAGGGCAAGACCAAAACAGGCAGCAGACGGGCTGCGCACCTAGACAGAAAAACGGCGAAGGGGTAGACGGCAAAACAACAAAGGAAACAATGGGCGTACAGCAACAAAAACAGGTTTGGGGATCAAGCCCCGAAAGGCTCACAACTCCACACGAAGTTAGAGCAGCCCCTGTTTGCTATAGGTATAGGGATCAAACCCCAGGGACTCAAAACAACTAGAAAGTTAGAAAAACCCTAACTACTTGGTTTACAGCCCACTGAACCTACGATTCATTCCAATGGAATAAATTAGGCTGACAAATTTTTTGAAGTGTGGTTTATAGGAGGGTTTAGGGGTGTTGTTCATTATTGTTGATGTGTGCGGTTTATCGTGGTTGCAGACGTGGCCTGTAGGTGTGGGTTGCTATTTTCG